GATTGTTTGCACAATTCTAGAACAAAGAAAAGAACACTAAAAATGAATACAATTGAGCACAATAAGTGTTCTTGAAAGCAAAATGAATATTGAATGAAAAATAGGCTTGAAATGCTCAAACTTGAGGTTTGATGTTTTTTCTTTGATTCTCTCTTGATTCTAGTTGCTTGATGTTTCTTGTTATTGATCAATGGCTTCTAAGCTTGCTTAAATACACATTGAATCACTTTTGAACGTTGGGGATCATTAATGAAGATAATATAGCCGTTTTAGTGTGAAATTAATTAATAAAACAGTTTGGAGCGTAGGGGGAATCGGTACCCCCTATGGGGAATCGGTTCCCTCCGAGCATACTGGAATTCTCGGAGCCAAACCATTCAGGGGGAATCGGTACCCCCTTGGGGGAGAATCGGTTCCCTCTGAGTAATCTGAAATTTTTGGCTTTGAAATGGTTCGAAATACTTTGTAAAATTATTTTGAAATTGTTTTAAGATTAAAACTTAATTTTATAATTGAGTAAGGATTAAAAATGATTTTTGAAAGATTTAGAGTAATGTTTTGATATTCGAATAATTATATCGAATATACTTAGAAAACCTTATTGCACAATCTTAAAATTCATTTAACTTAATTTGTTATATTGAAATATCAAAATGTTTTCAACAATTTACCTTTAATTATCGTTATATAATTAGAATATTATTTTGATGAGAATTATATATATATATATATATTTTTAGTTTCAATGGGCTCCTTATTCTACTAAAGAAATGAGGCGTTGCATCCCACCTCACTTGAGTGACCCATTAGATGTATGGATGACGGTGGTCCCTCTGATATGTTATGTTATTGTCGAGTGACATCCTATTGATCGTATGCTTCACCAATTTGGTTTCATTAAATCTATTTTTGAAGCACATATGAATCTCGATAACATGCATAATATCGATAGACGGGGCAAAAAAGAAGTTAACTGACTGATGAAGCACAACGAGTTAGTAATGATATGGGAGGATCGATGTGGACGTATTCCCTGTAAGGAGCCTATTTGTGTGGATCATTATTTGATTTCAGATGATTATTATCAGTGGTTCAACATAAATGAGAAGTTGTTCCTACTTTCCAAGGAAGCACGAGGCATGAGCATTCATCGGTGTCGAGAAAAAAGTCCACTGTCAAAACAACATCATCCCCCGACTCGTGGACGGAGAGTAAGCGCTTCCGGTTCGTCCTCAGCTACAGCACCGAAACCATCACAACAGTCACTAGTTTATATTTCGTAGCTGTTTCAGATGTCACCGCAACTATTTCAGATGCCACAATAACTATTTTTTATGCCACCGCATCATTTCAGATGCCACCATCGTATGGTTTTATGACACCTCCTGGTAGATAAACTCCCATGTTTATAGATTCAGTGTGGTCTTCATATGCTACTTATTTTGCAGGTGATGCTCCACCAAAGAAACAAACACCTCTGGCTCAGTTTTCACATTCATCGATGTCGATGTTTTTGCAGTTTTCACAGTTTTCTATGAGCGGTAGGATGATTAGTCATACACCTCCAGGGTCCTTATTCTATGGAGGTGCTACATTTTCATTCGTCCCTCATCAACAAAATGTATCTACTAATATTGTTGTTGTTGCTGCTGATGATGATGAGAGTGAGGAGGAAGATCAACTTATACGAAGCAATCATCATCGAAATAGACAGCTATCGCCCTGTGGAACACATTCAAGATGCATACATCAATAGACTTGTTTTTATTTATTTTGTTTCTTAATGTTTTTATTTAATTATGGACTTTTATTTATTTTTTTCTTAATGTTTTTATTTAATTATGGGCTTTTTATTTATTTTGTTTCTTAATATTTATATTATTTAATTATGAACTTTTTATTTATTTTGTTTCTTAATGTTTTTATTATTTAATTGTTTGAATTGTAACGTTTGTATTTAATATTTGTATTTAATTGTTTTAATTGTTTTTATTATTTAGTTTGTAATGTTTTTATTTAATTTTCACTTGAGTAGCCGATCACTTGAGTAACACATTAATTAAAAGTAAACGAAAATGAAATAACACAAACTGCGGTGATTCTAGCTCAACGAATAGTCCCTCAGCACAATCTGCACCTGACTCACAAAGAGGTTCTTCTGGTGGAGATGAGGGTTCCTCTGTGATGCATATATTTAGGTCGAACAAGTTGGTGGTTGAATGTCTTCCCCTTAAACTTGAAGGCATCATGTCGTACGGGTTTTAAACTGAGTGTTGTGTCGCATGCATCTCTATATTGAGGTCGAAGAAGCTCGCAATTAAATGCCTCCCTGTAGAACTTGTAGGCATCATGTCAAATGGGTACTGAATAGATTGTTGTGTCAAGGGCATCTCCATATTCAGGTCAAAGAAATTGGCAGATGAATGTCTTCCCCTTGAACTGGAAGCGATGATGCCATACGGATTATTCGTGGAGCCACCTCGTTGGAGATCGTAACAAGTTGCTGATGAATGTCTCCCCATTGAACTTAATGGAATGGTACCATGATATTGATTTCCCATTAATAAGTTAAAATCATTACATATTACTTGAGTTGGGCTGTCAACTTGATCAACTTGTTGAGGCAGCCCATTGTGGGAGCATAATAACATACCACGAATCGCAGACACTTCAACAAATGTGGCATACATTTTTGTATCAACGTCTGAATTTTGATTCTGAGCATCAACCATTATAGCAACATTGTCATCGTTAGAGAGTCTGAACGCTGTATAAGTTAACGAAAATAGTGCAGTTGGAAATCTGTACTGAAGTGAGGACAATCTTCTAGTACTTCCAACATGAATCTTCGTTGAAATTTTAGTGATCAAATCCTTAAGAGTGAAGTTTCTCTTGAAGGATATTCTGAGTGAATGATTTGATGTGAAAACAACGCTGGTTTCATCTTCCCGAATTTCTCTATCATAGTAAACAATAGTTGAAATACGATTCATTTTGAGAGTTTGAAAGATTAAAAGTCATATATATCTGCAAAAAATAATAGCTGAAATACACCTAATTAAATAAATAATATATGAATTAAAATATAAAATAATGCTAAAAAAATCACAATAATTTAAATAACATAGTTTAATATTGTTACTGTATCAACAAAATGTCTCGAGATATTGCTCTGCCTTCCATTTTACAACCACAAAAAATAATACAAAATAATTAGTATAATAAAATTTGATAAAATTAAATATAAATTAAATATAATATAATAAAAAAATAATTTTACCTTCTAAAAACTATAACAAAATCTACTTACCTTGATAGAAGGAATAATGTGAAAGTAATTTTAGTGTGGTTTAATGTTTGCATTCGGGGTATTTATAGGGGAAGGGAATATGTGAATAACCGAGAGAGTTAAGACTCAAGTAATAATAAAGTGTGCAATAATTCAAAGTGAATAAAGGAACGAGTGTCTCATGATCTGCGTCTTCCCTGCACGTGTCAGATTTTCCAGTGAAGGCGCGCTTCATAATTTACGCCTTTGCTATGTGACGCTAACTCAGACAGAACCCCATGAAGACACGCTTCATGATTTGTGATTTTCTATCGTTACACCAGTTCGGATAAAACTCTGCAAAGACGCGCCTCATGATCTGCAATTTGTCAGAAAGAGTGCTAAATCGATAATATTCAGAGAAATGATATCTGACAGATAATGTTTCGTTGTTAGGGTATTATTTAGGTAAAATTTCCTTTAAGATCAGACTTTACAATGTGGTCCCACTATGACTTGGCAATATCCTTTTTCTTTTTAAATATTCTATTTCTAATTTAGTTTTATTAATAGAACTGCATGTACATTACAAACTTCATTATTATTTATAAATATTAGGCTTAAGGGTCACTGTTGACTTGTAATAAATCAAATTTATCGTTTTCATGTTATCGTATTTTCGTATTAATTTAACTTTTAAAATTATTTAATTACATTATTTTATATTATGGACCGTTAAAACTAATAGAATCATTAATTTCTGCCAGTGGTTTTACCTATTACATGTAAATCACACCTTTACCCAAAAATCCCTAATTTCCCCCTAGTCTCTCTTAATCTTGAAAATGAACGAAGAGAGCAAACAAATTCCCAAAATGAAAGATGAGGTCGTTAATGAAGCGATTAAGCCCCTCGAGGAGCTATTTCACGAGAGTTCCTCATCGGTTGCAATTTAGAAACAACCGACCGTTGTCCTCACCAAAGATGAAAACCAGAGTCGAAGTTGCCGAACAGGTGCTTCATCTGCGAAAAGAATGTGGGGTTGACTGGGTTCAAGTGCCGCTGAGGAGTACATTTTGCGGCGAGCATTGGTACCCGGAAAAACACGAGTGCTCCTTCGATTTCAAGGGAACCAATCATGATGCGATAGCCAATACCATTCCCGTCATTAAAGCCGACAAAGTTTACCTTCGATTTCAAGGGCATCGATAAGACTATCTGGAGCTGAAGATCGAATTGTTGTTTATTTTACAAGTTTACGAGGGATTAGAAGAACTTACAGGGATTGTTACGCTGTTAGGATGATATTTAGAGAGTTTAGAATTTGGGTTGATGAACGAGATATTTCTATGGATTTAACTTATAGGAAAGAGTTGCAAAGCTTTTTGAGAAAGAATATTCATGTTTGTCTCAGGTTTTTTATAAAGGGAAAACTTGGTAATAATTGTGATTACATTTGAGAATCTTAATGGTAACTTTCTTTTTAGGTTGCAACCAGAATACTTATAAAATTTACATGATATGTTATGGATAATGTAATATTTTTTGTTTCAACCTGAATGCGATCCAATTTATTCTAAAAAGTTACATTCTTGATATGTTTTTCAATTACAATCGATTTCTATATTTTCTTAACCTTGTATTACTCGATTGTATCTTAGACTCATCCCACACCATAAGAACAGAAGGCATACCTAGGAGAGTATGCTCTTCATATAATAACACTTCCATCCGAGTGTTGTTGAAAATAGCTGCGTGGATCATACAAATCATGCCTTAAAATATAACTAATGTTCTTACCACAGATTAACAGAAGAAACCTAGAAACATTGGTGTTCTTGTCAATTACAGCTGAGAAATCACCGAGAAAGTGATACACGAACGACCTTTACAGAAACCGTTAGCAACATCGAAATTTTGGCACTATCCCTCATCGTCATTCGACACGCATTCAACAGTCACACAAGCTTCATCTTCTTGACAACTTGGACCATATATAGACAACAAAAAAGCAAAATAGTGCAAAAAGAACCACATGAACAATATGGTTAGAGCCGTGCTTGATTATACTCTTGTTCAGTTTCCTAATGTTGTTCTTTACCCCTGCTTGAGCTTTAATCATTGTCATTTGCTGTCATAAAGTGAGATCACACATTCAGGAAGCAGCAAAAAAAATATTAAGCATCTTTTTCCTCCCAAATATAAATGGCAGGCAAAGCACCGAGCAATTCATGTAATCCTCAACAGAAAATCGCCATTTAAGACCATGAACTGATAGAATTGATTTTGCATGTATACATGTACTTAATAAAGTAGGCATAATAGAAAGGGATCACATTAGATAACAGTTCAAATCAAGAAAGGGTTGATCATCAAGAAAAGCTTCCTGCTTATCCTTTGCATTCAGTTTTCTTTTGCATTACAGCTTAGCAATACCAACTAGATGGCTAACAGGATCCTGCCTCCATGTCTACCCTAAGATTCAAAGAGACGGAGGCAAATAACAACCGGATGAATAAAAGAAAAGAGTGCGTTATGTTCAACCAATAAAAAGTTACTTGAATAATACAACATATGAACTGAAGGAATAAAAAACAGATGAATATCCTATATCTTTTACACAATAGAGAAATCATATGATAAATACTATGTCTAGGGCAGATAGCCAGTTAATAATTATTTCCCGCTTTTTTCAGGTTATTTTCCAAGACTTCCATGTTTCAAAGAGTTCAAAATTTTATTCCACCTTGATTTCACTTTGCTATACAAGAATGTAGAAATATTATAGTAAAAACACAAAATGTGTGATAAACTAAGGTGGTCATTCCTCATTTTCAAGGAACAATACATTATAGCAATTATTCACAGCATGCAAGAAACCATACAAAAAAAGCAAATGTGAAGAACGGGTAAATGTAGCTGTAATAATACCAGCTGATCTAAAAAGTCCTTCTGAAATTTGGCTTCTGATCCTATTTCTTGAGCAACCTGCACAATATTTAAGATTAACAGAATTTAGCTAGTTAAAGGTATAGAACGAATATAGAGGAAAATAACCCTCCCTCTAGAGAATAATAAAAGAGAGGTAAAAAAAAACGAAGCCAAAGTTCACTTTAAGTGTCAAATAACAAGTCCTTACAAAAAAAGAAATAGAATTACATACACAACTCCAACAGAAAAAGAGAAATAGTATTAAATGTCATTAGATGATATATTCTTATGAGCATTGTTTATCTCAATTCAAAGTGACGTTTGATATTTATAAACATTGGCTTAAATTTGATTTTCAATATGAAAGGAAATGGACCAAATAAACAATGATAATATTATCACGAATCACGACACCTACGGAGAACAGAAAGATATCCAAAGGAATAATTACACTCAGATTTTAGCTTAAAGCCAAACTGAGGAAGGTAAAAATCATATCAAAATCCTTTATGCACTTCATCCACTTCATCCAATATAGAAAGAAATATCAAATGAATCATAGAATACGAAATTAGAAAATCAATCAATAAACGAAAAGGTCTTACGTTTCTCAATTGTTTAACTTGGCTACGGAGACCGAAGATCTCATCGTCCAAATCGCCATGCATCGGATCAATCCGCAATTGTATTTCATCGGAACTAGCCACCGGTCTCGTGCTTAAACCCTCCCTATTTCAACATTAACAACAAATTAAAATCGGCTCAGACAAAATAAGGAAAAAAACCCTAAATAAATTCTAAACTCGCTTCTAATTAAAAAATAATTGGATCAAAAGAAATTCAACAAATAAAATTAGACCTAGATCGGTAAGGAGTCGCACCACCGTAGAAGGAATCGCCACCGGTTCGGTTCGAAGTAAACGCCATCGAAACGAACGAGCCGAAATAAGCAAAAAGGGCCTTTAAACAACAAGGGAGCTGAGTAAAGGGGAAAAAGCGTAAAATTAACACGAGAGCTCGCTGGTTTGAAAGATTATAATCGTGCGGTTATATATTCTTTTAGGATTTTAGATAGAATTGTTTTTCGACTTCGATTTTACGTAGATTTTATATTTAGGCCAAAATGGGATGAATACCAAACATAATAAATAACACTACTCATTATTTATTATAAAAAATAAATATTATTATTTAAAAAGTATATTTTAATAAAAATTATTATATAAATATCATTATTAAAATATTATTTATATTCATAAAATATTAAGATTAAAATATTTTAAAAAATTATTTATTATATTTGTTATTTATTAAACTAAAAATTGTATATTATTCAATATGTTTAAATATTATAATATTTTTAATATTATATTAATATTAAATATATAAAATAATATTACTCATTATTAAAAATTCAATAATAATATTTTTAAACATTATAATGATTATTAAATATTATTTCCATTGATATTATTATTATTAAAATATTTTTTACAATTTTATAAATAATATTAAGATTAATATATTTTATTAGAATAATGAATATTATTAACTTACTAAAATAAGATTAATATATTTTGAATTTTTTACTAATTATTAATATAAAACATTTAAAAAATATTAAATATTATATTAATATTAAATAAATATATAATATATTATTAATATACTATTAAAATATTATATTAATATTAAATACATAAATGCAGGTTCTGATGGTTTTCCTTACAGGTGGGAACATAGGTATAATGGCTTGGTGAATCTGGAAACAACGATGCACTCTAATTTTTAATGGAGAGAGCTGGTCGTCAGAGGCGATTATTCAGAATGCTCGCACCTGGGCCATCTCCATCGCTGCAAGAGTGACGAACCATACCCATCAACTAGTTGGGCAGAAGAGCAGCCAAGTCTGAAGGCCTCCTCTCTCTGGTGTGCTCAACTTGAATACCGATGGTGCTGTCAATCCAAGAACCATGGGAGCAGCTAGTGGTGGCATTATCCGTGACCCTGAAGCAAACTGGATTGCGGGTTATAGTCGTCATATTGGAAACTGCTCGGTGTTTCACGTCGAGTTCTGGGGCTTGCTGGACGGGTTTCATGTGGCTTGGAAACATGGAGCTAGCCATCTCATGGTGGAAATAAACAACGCGGAAGCCATTTGTTTGGTTACCGGCCAGAACTAGGACCATGAACCGACCATCCTTCGAAGGATTCGAGAGGTGTTGCACAAAAGCTGGACGATCGAGTTCTGTCTCATCCCCCGAGAAGCGAATAGCATGGCTGACGTTCTCGCCTAGTCACTGGAGTGTTTGTCAAAGGAGTATCCTTTGTTCGAAGTCGTACACGTTGCCCTAGAATAGGAGCGTCTTGGTTTCCAATTTTCTTATTTCTCCATTACAAAGTCTGCATCGTAGGATATTTTATTTTGGTATCTTTAGAAGAACGGGTAAAGGAAAGAGTTAGGAAGCCTTTATTTTCATTCAAATTGATCTGTTGTGCAAGCTTGGAGATTTATTTCATGGATGGTTGTTAAGTTGAAGAGGGTAATGCCATGAAAAAAATAAAATAAAAATAAGGATTAATTAGAAAATAAGTGGCCAAACTATAACGATTTTCTAAATAGGTGCCCAAACTTTTTTCGGATCCATCCATATCTGTTAAAAAACACGTTAAGTAAAACATGTCGCGTTCTGGTAATTTAAAATTATTAGAATGTGACATTTATTATTTAATGAATTTTTTAATGATCATTACTGTCAAAGTACCTAAAATGATAATATTTGTAATTAAAAAAAGTTTGAGCACCTTTATAAGAAAAATTATACAATTTGAGCAGCTATTTTCTAATTAAGCCTAAAAATAAGGGTCTGACCATGGTTTTCAGAATCGAACCGGTTAGCTATTTTCAATCTTCTTTTGACCAGCTTAACTTGAGATGATATCTGACACTACTTTTTGTAAAAGGCGAATTTCATGGTAAGGTTGACCATGGTTTTCAGAATCGAACCGGTTAACGAACCGATCATGCCATTGGTTCACTGGTTCAACCGGTCCGACCGGTCGGAAGAACCGAACGACATCATAATTATTTAAAAAGTTAAATAAAAATACCAAAAATATTTAATAAAAAATATTTTTTTATATCACAAGTCATATTCAAAACAAGTTATAACATCAAGTGAAACAAAATGATTCAAATTAACTACAACATAATATTTAAGGTAAAATATATTAAATAATAAATATAATTATATAACTATAATTAAAAAATAAATTTGAAGATAAAAAAATCATAATAAAATAATATTGTTTGATTTAATTTTTTTTTTAAAAACAATCCCACATGGTTAAGAAACATAGAAGAACATCCCAAAAATCTAAAGAGTAAAAATATGAAAACAAAACAATCCCACATGACTAAGAAATATAGAAGAACATCCCAACTAACTTCTATAAATAATAAAGGTAATTTGACATTCAAAATCATAGAGCCTTTTGGTGAGCATTAAGTGAACTATTTTTTTACTTCAATCAAACTTAAATTTTAGACTTCAATCGAGCTTTTAAATTCTTTTTGAGTTCAAGACTTTTCGAGTTCAAATTTCAATATTATATTTCGAGTTCGAGTTGAACTTGATAATTTTTAACTCCTGAGTTTGTGTCGAGTTGAGCTTACTTTTAAAGTTTTCAAGTTCGAGAGCAATACTCGAGTTCGACTTGGCTCATTTAACAAACAACGTCGTTTGGTTTAATTTTTTTTAATAAAAAAACAAAATTGACAGTTTTTTCCGGTTTTCAGTCGGTCCGGTTCGAACGGTTTAACGGTTTCGACCGGTTCACTAGCAACGGTTCAACCAGTGTAGATTAAACCGGACTAGGTAACGATTTTCGGTTAAACCGGTTGAATCGATCGATCTAGTCCGATTTTCAAAACATTGAGGGTGACTACCCCACTTTCTTTTGACCTTCACCACATTTGCCTACAAGATGGTCACGATTTTTGGTGCATCGTTTCTTGGCCCTACAAGAGATCGATACATGTATAGTGTTCCAACACGGTCATCCATCTCTTCCTCCTCGGTGGACCTAATCACTTCAACCACTAGGCCAGGCATGGCACGAGCAATCTCCTGGCAAACTTGACGAGTTAGTCTACATGAAGACATCCAAAGGAACCTCATGTTATAGTACCGATGCAAACCGGAACGCAGTGCAGCGTCACCGAATGGGCTATCTCTAACTTCAAGCTTCTGCAACTGCAGACAGCCCTCGAGCACATATTTAAGTCCCGTGTCACTGTCTCCGGAAAAAGCCACTGACAATGTGCGTACCGATTTTCCATATCTTCCGATGTAATCAAAAGCTTTATCTGTCAGTAAACCAGATACAGCAAGGCGAGTGAGCTTCTTACAGTTCTTAACGATGGCTCCAAAACCATGGTCCATAGGTTCCCCGGTTACATGATCAGGCCTGTGACGTCCCATTATGCACAGCCGAAAAATAACAAGATCTGGACAGTTTTTGGACATTGCTATAACAGCTGCATTAGTCATCCTCTGGCAGAAATACAGAACAGATTGCAATTTCCTACAATCCTCAGAAATAGCTTGGAGGCCCACTTCAGAAACAAGGCCATCACTATCCTCCCGAGCATCAACCGGGAAAACCCGAAGCTCACGTAATTCCTTACATGTTGCAGCCACCGCTTGAAGTCCCTCATCGCGAATTGAATCAAGGACCTGCATAATGAAAGATAAGGTAAGCATCAAAGCACTTATTTCGTCACAGAGCTTGTGCAGGACAAAATATTGAATCGCATACCCAAAAAACCTGAAGATTGTGGCAGTTGCTTATAACTGGCTTAAGCTGTTCAGCAGTTATGTTGGCATAGCTGAAATTCAGAGACGTGAGGTTTGCGCAAATAGGGTAAACTGCAGGAAGATAATCTGGAACTGTTTCCCTAAACCCGGAGAGGCAAACTAAAGATTTGCAGGCAGCAAAAGCGGAGACATAATCTGGTTCTTGATCGCCTTGCAAAGCAACCTCTAATGGGCTAAAGGACCCTGTCCCAAGGTGTGTGACCTGTAGAGCTTGAACCATCAATCGATATAGCTGTCCAATTGAAACATGTCGATTTGGCTTAAGCTTCTTAAGTGAAGGAGACCTAGCCACCAGCTTTTCTAGTGCCTCGAAATTTATCGGGGATTCTACACAACCAAATATCAATGACTCGAGATGCGATTCACACTCGGGGAAACAGGATATCCAATCTGTATCATCATCTGCAACCTCGGATTCGATCACATCAAGCACCCTAAGCTGTCTGCAAATATAGAAATACATCAATCAAGTGTCCATAAACTTTTACATCCTCCAACCAATACCCAGATCAAGGGCAATCATAATGGATCTAAAAACATTCAGTCTAGAAAACACAAGCATCGGATCAACCAAAAATCTCAGTAGAAATGAATAGTATTTCTTCGTACCATAGCAAATAAACAACAAATCAGTACTCTCACCTCATCAAACAGATCGAATAAGTCAGTTAATCATATACACATAGCATTGTAATCATCAAAATAAAATTTTTGAAAGATAAAAAAGAGCAATACCTTCACTTGCTAACAAAAATGGCGAGGCCATTAGTTCCAAACCCATCACAGCAAACGAGAACGAGCTCCTTAAACCCCGAAAATGACTCGGCCAGCGTAGCCAGATCATCGTCCGTCACGAACATACGCTTCAGGTGAACTTTTTCCAGACAAGGGCAGGCTTTGGCGAAAGGCAGCAGCCAAGGACTGAAGCGGGCACCCCAATCGGAAGGCATAAGATTGAAGTCCGCGAACCTGGGCCTCCCTTTCAGATGAAGAGCTCTCGCCCTGGGAAACCTAGCGGTGGCCCGAGTCGGCCAAACCGCGTAGCAGTTCCCTATGAAAAGCTCGGATCGGGTGAGCGCCTCCACTCGATACCACAACTTGCACACCAATGAGGCGGCGTTCCGGTCCCGCGTGGACGGGAG